AATTTTGCTTTTTCAAGAACACTACCTTTACTCCTTTAAACTCGAGTGATCTATTATACGTTTGATAATTGCACCCCGTCTGGTCAGTATTGATTACAAAATCCAAATTGAAATTAGGAATAATGTTTCTCGTTTGTATCTGGAATCTTTGTGCTGCTTCCATGGTTTCTTCTAGAATAGCGATCTCTCTTCGGCTAACATATTTTGTTATCTGACGCTGTATTATTCTATGTTTCTGTTTAAAAACTTTTACCCAAGTAGAACTAGCATCGAACGAAAACGTGTCCGATTGAAAAGGAGAAGCTGCTATTAATGCCCATTGTTGCAATGTTCTTGTTACCTGCAAATATTTATTATTACATGCATTAGTACATACATAAATGTATTACGTTATATATGTATGTATGAAATTCTAATATATTGTTGTGCCCGCGCGTGAAAGAAATAACTCGGGATAAACTAAACGAGAATAGCTTTATTTACAGCCAAGAAAAACGGATCTTAATCAATCTCAAAATAATCGCACGAATTCGCTTTACGTCCGTACGCTGTGACAGGACTAGAGCGACTTTCTTATTATTCCAGTTGTTAGTAAACAAATTCCTTGACAACGATAACAGCTGTCAAACACTCTCTATATGCCTTCTTCACAGTCTTCTCCCAAGAGCGTGGGAACACGTTCCCCAAAGGCGTGGGCACAACAATATCTTTCTTGTTTTACCTGCTCGTAACAGCTTCTTGCTTCTCGAAGACGTTCAAAAATTTTATTGTCAATTATTTGCCATTTATCTACTCGCGTTCCTCCACTTTTCACGTCTTTCTTCCATTGGATTAAATAATCTTTTCTTTTTAAACGACTTCTACCTTGTTTTTGCAGTGTCTTTAAATTCCAATGTGGATGTGCTTCAGCAAGAGCAACGATTTTTGTTTTATACTCTAAAGGAATATAGTCTCTAGGAGGCTCTGCATAATCTGATGGATTGTAGTTTGCATCTGTCGTGGGATCGTCTGTGCACTATCAAGATGTAAAATATAATTTGCAGCGTCTTTCATTTCTAACATTAAAATAACATTAAAAATCTAACATTAAAATCGAAAAAACATACCTTTTCGTGTAGATTTTCACTATCGCTATCATCATTTAGAATGAGATCTTCATCCACCATGACATAACTGTTGTTTAAAATATCGATAACAGCATTAGAAATGCTATTTGCCATAGCTATCGACACAGTACTAATTTTCGCTGGAAGATTTTTTGATAATAATTTATTACTCTCGTAATTAGAATTCGTATATATGAGAGCATTAGTGAATTCACCTTTAAAATCTTCATTTTTAAGAGATCTTTCTTCTAGCGATTCTATATCAACTATTTTGCTTGTTGAAGGATTCTCTGACATTGTTATGATATATGTAATTTAAATATGATCACCGAACTACTATGTATCACTAGTAAACGGACACTGCTGCTTGCTCTACTGACGACTGTTCCGACGCTCGAATCATTTCGTCATTTCTAACGATTGTTTAGAATGACACAAAGGAAGTTTCTGGAGGGGGATTGCCAGAAGAGATAAAGAGCTTCAACACAACATAGAGAGTTGTAACAGAAACAAATATTTTATATATACGATATAAGATTACGAAGAACTATCTCATACTATTAGGAGCGCAAAAAAGTTCTGAGCCCTAGATTTCATACTACTGAAACCACAATTTAAATTGCATTAATTTTCCTGCCCTCTTGCGGTTCTAAAGCAGTGACATTTGGTCTTTCGAAACATCGTGCGATTTGGCGTTTGATGCACATAACCTTAAAATCAGCAGTGTTCACGATGGCAATAACAAAAGAGCATATTCGATTTTCCATCCACTTCGCGTTTCATCTGAAGAAAAATGCTGCTGAAGCCACTGAAATGATCTGTGTTGCATATGGAGAGAACGCTGTAAGTTATGCTACGTGTAAAAGGTGGTATCAAAAATTTCGCCAAGGAGATTTCAGTCTTGAAGATGAACCGCGTGCTGGACGCCCTCAAAAGATTGAAACGGACGAACTGCAAGCATTGTTGGATATAAACTCTGCACAAACTGAAAAGGAGCTTGCAGAGCAACTTGGCGTTACGCGACAAGCCATTTCCACACATTTACATGCAATGGGAAAAGTTCAAAAGGAATGCAGATGGCAGATGGGTTCCGCATGCACTGTCCGAAGACAACAAAAATCGACGGCGTGACACGGCACTCACTTTGCTTTCAAGGTTCCGTAAAAAGGATTTTCTGCTCCAAATCATTACAGGTGATGAAAAGTGGATACTTTATGATAATCCGAAGCGTAAAAAATCATGGGTTGACCCTGGTCAACCTTCGACATCGACGCCAAAGACCAATATCCACGCCAAGAAGGTTTTGCTTTGCATATGGTGGGATTGGAAAGGTGTATTGTATTACGAGTTGTTACAGCCGGGTGAAACAGTAACGGCAGATCGCTATCAGCAACAATTGAGCAATTTGAGCGATGCGTTTGAAGAAAAGAGGCCATTTATTGACAAAGGACTTCGTAAAGTGATACTGCTTCATGACAATGCCCGACCACATGTTGCGAAAGTGACTTAGGACTATATCTTTGCATTAGGCTGGGAACTTCTCCCGCACGTGGCGTATAGCCCAGACATGGCGCCTTCCGATTACTACCTATTCCGGTTTCTGCAGCATTTCTTGGCTGATATACATTTTGTGAAACTTGAAGAGATACGAAAATGCATTGATGACTTTATCGCCTCGAAGCCGGTGAGCTTCTACCATCAGGGAATTCGCAAGCTGCCCGAAAGATGGCAAAAGGTCATCGATGCAAATGGGGAATATTTCGTTGATTAATATAATTTTGTTTGTTTTTAAATAAATTTTGAATTTTGCAAAAAAGGCTCAGAACTTTCTTGCGCTCCTAATAGTTTAATACCACTCCTATATATTTCATAACAATATTTTTATTCCTATTTCCATTGCAATTATTATATAAAAATTTTCTCATACACTACATATTTTATGGATAAGATTTATGGTTTTTTTGCAATTTAAATCATTAATAATATGTTTAACAAACACTAATATATTTAAGAAACGCGCTTTTATTATTTATCAATGTTTTCTGTTTTATTTTTATGCTTAGAGAATAAAAAAACCATACAGCAAGGATCGACCCTTAGCTGTTAGTTCGGTAGTCCGTTACCTTCGCTGCTGCGCTCCGCCGCTTCGTTGAATACCCTTCTTACTAACTCGTACACTTTGTTGGACCTTTTCTTTAGACCGTTTTTTCTCGAAAACGAAGAGGTATTGCATCGTATATTATTAGGAGTACAAATAAATTTCCGCCGTTTGACAAAAGATGGCCCCACCAGAAGGTTATGTTGAAATTGTCAGATGTAAAACGTAATATCATAATAAGTTTGGACATCTGGTAACAACATAACCTTGAAGTATTAGTGACGTATCAGCATCACATAATTTCTTTCGTGCGAAAATGTCAAGTTTTGTGCCGAATAAGCGTCACTTGCGGGAACTTTTGATTAACTTCTTTAATTTGAAGAAATCTGCAGCTGAGGTGCATCGATTGCTTGTAGAAGCATATGGTGAGACTGCTTTAAGTGAGAGAAGTTGTCGTGAGTGGTTTCAAGTTTAAAAACGGTGAGTTTGATGTGGAAGACAAAGAACGTAGTTGAAGGCCGAAAGTGTACGAAGACACGGAATTGGAAGCATTATTGCAGGAAGATTTGTGCCAAACGCAAGAAGACTTGCATTTACATTAGAAATGACTCAACAAGCAATTTTACATCGTTTAAAATCGTCGGGAATGATTCAAAAACAAGGAAATTGAGTTCTATATGAACTGAAGCCGAGAGGCGTTGAATGCCGATTTTGCACGTGTGAAATGCTGCTTGCCAGGCATAAAAGGATGGGTTTTTTGCATCGTATAGTCACTGATGATGAAAAATGGATCCACTACGATAACCCAAAGAAGAGAAAATTATGGAGACCACCTGGCCATGCTTCAACATCGACAGCCAAACCGAATATTCATGGAAAACAACTCATGCTGTGTAGTTGGTGGGATCAGCTTGGTATCGTGTATTATGAGTTGCTCAAACCGAGCGAAACCATTACTGGAGCTCTCTACCGAACACAATTAATGAGATTGAGCCGAGCACTCAAGGAAAAACGCGCCCATTACTACTCCAGACACGACAAAATTATTCTCCTACATGACAACGCTCGGCCACATGTTGCAAAACCGGTCAAAACCTATTTGGAAACACTTAATTGGGAAGTCCTACCTCACCCGTCGTATTCACCAGACATTGCCCCTTCCGATTATCATTTGTTCTGGTCGATGGCACATGGCCTGTCTAAGCAGAGCTTTACATCATATGAAGATACTAAAAATTGGGTCGATTCGTGGATAGCCTCAAGAGATGAAGAGTTCTTCCGACGTGGTATCCGAATGCTGCCAGAAAGATGAGAAAAAGTAGTGGCTAGTGATGGACAATAATTTGAATAAAACGTAATGTACTGTTCTTTCATAATAAATTCCTAATTTTTGATAGAAAACTTATTTGTACTCCTAATATTACCATGAGTTATTAGTTGTTGAAAGACGCGCCTTTCCTGACGAGAGAAACAAGAACTAATAGCTCTAGCAACCCAAGGAGTTACCCTATTGCAAGCGGCGGCCGATAGAGCGCGCTGACAAAAAAAAGAACCCAGTTGTATTTTTTACTGAGACTGTATAAGTCTGGCTGTAACCCAACATCTTCTTTGCGATTAAAAAGAAAGAGTTTGCTTTGGAGACAACGTTATCCGAGTTTTTTTTGAGTGTCTCCATTCTCGTGTGCGAACGTACGGTAGCAACATTCTGGCGACCGTGACAGGACTGGTTTTGTACTGTTGCTAACCGTTACGTAGTGAGGTAAGAACACATTCGAGAGAAGGGCAATCTTCGGATAATGGATAAATTGAAAATATCGCAAAAAGTGACGCGGATCGCGTTCACGCGGACATACAACGCTTTCTTGAGCGAGACGAAAAAAGGATCGCCGGACATAACCTCGTTGCGAGTCAATTTTGCATTGATTCGAGAAAAAGCGACGGAGCTCGGTGAATTGAGCCAGAAGATACAGGAGGCAATGATTGAAGCCGGAGAGACGGAAGAAGCTCTTTCTAGAGAAATGGAAAGCGCTGATGAATATATGGCAAGATATCATCGCGCGAAGATCGAGCTGACGCAACTATCCGAGACAAGGGAAACAGCGATGCAGGCAGCACAACCGCAGCCATTCCCAACGGTCGTATCGGCACAGGAAAACATACGCGCACTGAAACTACCTAAGATCGAATTGAGGAAATTCGGCGGTGAGATTAAAGACTGGCTGGCGTTATGGAGCACGTTCAAGAAAATTTATGACGATGCGACCCTAACGAGAGAGGATAAATTCCACTATTTATTGCAGTCGACAACAAAGGATTCTCGTGCGTACGAGATCGTTAACAGTTTCCCTCCTACCGCGGAAAACTATGAGAAGGCAATACAGAGCCTTAAGTCTCGATTCGGTAAGAAAGATCTCTTGATAGAATTTTATGTACGTGAGCTCTTGAAGTTGGTTCTGAGTAAGAATAAAAACGTATCGCTTACGACAATCTATGATAAACTTGAAACGCATCTTCGTGCACTCGAATCCTTGGATGTAACTACAGAGATGTGTGCGGCGATGTTATTCCCATTAGTAGAATCCTCGTTGCCGGAAGAAGTTTTACGGACATGGCAGCGGACAGCGACCATATCAGCGGATGTCCCTACAGTAAGTATCACGGCTAAAGATCGTCTCACGCACTTGATGACTTTTCTAGGAAAAGAAGTGGAGAGTGAGGAACGCATTCATATGGCTAAAACGTGCTTTGATATAAATGATGATCCTGCAAAGAATAAAAATAAAAAGAAGTCGAAAAGTGACTTGGATCGAGGTCAAGATGTGGCTACAACTGCTGGGTTACTCACGCTCAGGGATACAAATATATCTAAATGCTTGTTCTGCGAAGAAAGCCATGACAGTTTGCACTGTGAGAAAGCTCGAAGTATGCCCATGGATCAACGAGTCGAGGTTGTAAAAGGAAAACATGGTTGTTTCAAATGTCTGCGATCTGGACATAGTTATAAGAAGTGTCGCAGCAAAGAAAAATGTCCTTGGTGCAAAAGGGGGCACTGTTTGCTCATGTGTAGAAATCTTTCAAGTAATAGTGAGCCGAATCAAACTACGGGTAAAGAATCAGTCAAGCAAACCTTTAATGAAGAAAATAGTTGTCTCACTAACGTATCATTGGATGTCAAGGTATTTCTGCCAATGTTGAAGGTTAAGCTGCGAGGACCTAAGGGAGCTGTAGATGTGCGAGCTGTTATTGATACGGGTTCACATAAATCATACATTTTAGGACAGGTAGCTGAAGAGCTAGGTTATGACATCGTGGGCGAACAAACGATGGTGCATTTGCTGTTTGGTGGAATCAAGACCAAACCGCAAAATCATAAAGCTTGTTGGGTTTACGTGGATTGTCTGGACGGATCGTATCAATGCAATTTTATCGCTTTTAAAGAAGAGGTTATTTGCCGCAACCCTCCTAAAACAAACAGCGCACCATGGGCAGATATACTCAAGAAAAACCACATACGACTATGTGATACCGGAGAAGGAAAAGAACCTATTACTTTGCTTATTGGCGCTGACGTTGCTGGTTGGCTGTTCAACGAGAAAATTATTTAGCTGGATAATGGCGTGACCGCCATAGAGACTAAACTCGGTTGGACTCTGCTAGGTAAAAATCTGGTTGAACAAAGGAAAGAAGATGCTGCTCTGATGGTTATGTCTATGATGACACAAGAAGCAAGCATCTCGGATCTATGGAGATTGGATACTTTGGGTATCATGGATCCTATAGAGAGTATAACCAAAGAAGCACGTCAAGCGGAAGTGAAAGCATCATTTCGAGATACAGCTAAGAAGAACGAAGAAGGACGCTATGAGGTCCAATTACCTTGGAAGGAAAATCATCCTGCATTACAAGACAATAGACATGTCGCACAGAAAAGACTCGACACAGTAACGAAGAGGTTACAACAAGAAAGCTTATTCGAGGATTACAAAGCTGTCTTTGACGATTGGCTTTCTAAGGGTATTATCGAGAAAGTGAATGATGAGGAGATTGCTAACAAGAGCTATTATCTTCCACACAGGCATGTTGTTAAAGAAAGCAGTACGACGAAAATACGTCCAGTTTTTGATGCTTCCGCAAAAACAGAAGATTCGCCATCGCTGAACCAATGTTTGGAGACGGGACCTAACCTCATCGAACTCATTCCGGATATGTTACATCGTTTTCGAGAGAAGAAGATAGGAATAACAGCAGACATAGCTAAGGCCTTTCTTCAGATAAGCATCGCTCAAGCGGATAGAGATGTGTTGAGATTCCTGTAATGGGACTCCCTGGGGAGAGTTGAAACTTATCGATATCGGCGAGTAGTCTTTGGTGTGTCGAGCAGCCCCTTTTTATTAGGAGCAACAATTGAGTTACTTCTCGAGCAGGGTTTGAGGGCCTCTGATTCTCCACGCAGGAGACTTGTGTGTGAGAAATTGGCAAAGTCTTTCTATGTAGATGACTGCATTACTAGTGTTGACTCATATGACGACTTGCAGATCTTGCTTGAAGAAGCCATCGCCCTGATGAACAAGCTCTGTTCGATTTGAGAGATTGGAGGTATTCGGGCATGAAGGAACCGAACAACTCGACTACAGTACATGGCCTTCGGTGGGACACAGAAAGAGACACTCTAACCCTCATGGGACCCTTTCCAGATACAATTCCGAAAGAAATAACCAAAAGAGTCGTGCTTTCGTCAGTCCAGAAAGTGTTCGACCCCTTAGGCTTCACTTGCCCTGTGCTTTTGAAACCGAAATTGATGTTGCAGCGTTTATGAAACCAACATTTAGACTGGGATGCTGAAATCGATATAGACAGCAAAAAAGAGTTCTTAGAATGGATGGAACAGTTGAATCTACTCCTACAGTTGAAGATTCCTCGATGGATTTTTGGTGATCAACGCAATGGAGATGCCGTATCCTTTCATGTCTTTGTGGATGCGAGTAAAGATGCCTATGCTGCTGTTTTGTATATTCGAGTGCAAACTGACTAAGAAATCCAAGTACATCTTGTTGAAGCGAAATCGAGAGTGGCGCCGCGTGAAAAGAAGACGATACCACGCCTTGAGCTGCTCGCCGCGTCAATAGGAGCAAGGATGATGCACTCCTTCGATAAGGCGATGTCTTACAAACACAGCAAGAGATATTTTTGGAGTGACTCAACTACTGTCTTATCCTGGATACGTCATGAAAGACAATGGGCGGTGTTCGTGTGGAACCGAGTTCAACGAAATAAACGCAAACACGCTGCCACTCCGTTTTCGGTGGGTGATGTTGTTCTTATCGCCAATGATTCACAGAAACGGCTTGAATGGCCTATGGCGAGGATTAAACAATTTTTTCCGAGTAAAGACGGCCATGTCCGAGTCGTGAAGTTACAAACTGCCGGCGGAGAGTTAATTCGCCCAATACAGAGATTAATTCCTTTGGAAATGGAAACCACAGGAGACAAATCAAGAAAACTTCTTGATTCGATTGTGCCGACAATTAAAGATCAACCACGGACAGAACCTGATCCGACGTTGCCAGAAAAATTAAAGGAACTGACTGAAACCGTTCCAACGTCGATTCCTGAGCCAAGAACAAGAAGCAGTCGGATTATCAAGCAGCCAGAATGTCTGGGATTTTGATTTCATCTACACTGAGTTATTAAGTTGTTCCATTGTACCGAAAAGGAGAGGGAGCAACTTAAGGTGGGAGGATGTTGAAAGACGCGCCTTTCCTGACGAGAGAAACAAGAACTAATAGCTCTAGCAACCCAAAGAGTTACCCTATGGCAAGCGGCGGCCGATAGAGCGCGCTGACAAGAAAAAGAACCCAGTTGTATTTTTTACCGAGACTGTATAAGTCTGGCTGTAACCCAACATCTTCTTTGCGATTAAAAAGAAAGAGTTTGCTTTGGAAACAACGTTATCCGAGTTTTTTTTGAGTGTCCCCATTCTCGTGTGCGAACGTACGGTAGCAACATTAGTAGTCGAGTACTATTAACTCCGTAAGTTTCGTTCCAAACCGTTTCCCGGTCGATACGTCCTCCCCTTGTGAGAGGTATTCCATCGGTAAGTGACGGAATTTCTTCTAAGACGTAGGAGAAATTGTGAGTTCCATGGCGACATCCCGTAGCTGTCGAAGTATCTGGCTGCTCCATTCTGATCGATGTAGAATGCGACCTAGTGCTGTCCTGGACGGTCGTGATTGTCCGTATTAGCGACTATTGCCGTCGATCTCGTCCACACACTTGATAGTCCGTCAGCTGTACAGACGTCTGTGTATCTGGCATTGAGATGTTGCAGCGCATGTTGAATTTCGAGCGAATTCATTTTATATAATTTCGTTTTACCTCTGGTAACGTGATTGTTATAGTCCTCGACGGTTTGATGGAATGCTGCAACTCAATATTTGTCTCGTTTTCCTCTTTTTCAATCGATGACTCTTCACTCCCCGATTTGAGGAATAGCTATTTTCACTGTCTTCCTCGTCAATTTTGGAGGACAAGCACTGGATCACATAAACGTTGTCACGCTTTTTGATGTTTCTTCGATGTACTAGTGTTTGAATTTGTATGCGTTGCGTAATGCACAGTGATAACGACTGTGTTTTCTAAATGCATGGAATGAGCAAGCTTTGACACGTTCGCTGAATGAAAGATCATTGGACATCGGCGAGATATTCTCCAGATTATACACGTTTCGGTCTAACAAATTTTGCGAGTAGCTCGCTTGTTCTTTGTCCTATGTCATAAAGTTGCGAATATGACTCCTAATTTCACGCAAACGCGGATAAAAATATTTCGGATTGCTCTCCCCGTCGTACCACTCGATTCCATAATAATTCTGTGAAAGCCAGTTATTTATCCGCCTTGATTTTTCATTCAATTCTATAAATGAATATTCTGGAGCTAAGATCCAATGTCCGACGAATGCCTCATTAATACCGACAATAGCCACCTCCTTGAGCACATAGACGTCGTTGCTATTGACATATCGGAAACATTGCACTTCGATAATCACATCCATGTTCCCTCTATATTCGCAATTCTGTTTCCTCCGAAACTATACTCTTCATACCTCGAAGTCGACTGGACTCTTTTCTCAAAACTTTTACTCAGGAGGGGAATGATGTTTAAAATATTTACACTGGAAGGGGAATGACATCAAAAAGAAGAGTGGGAGACTCGTTTTAACCGCTATAATCTACAATGACTTGACGAGAAGAATCTATTTTCAACATACTTTCAAATTCAGCGTAAACTAAGCAGCTGATCGTTGTTGTGAGAGCTTTTTCGAATCGTACCTCCATTCGCAAACTACCGTGTTTCACAAGGTTCCATTGGTCCGTGCAATTAGCTGATAAATCAGGAGTGAGATCAAAAGCGAAAAGAGCATAACCAGCAGGGTAATCTTCTCTGGATATAGAATTAGTTTCGTTCAAAAAGTGAATGCCCGTTCCCGAAAAAAAGGTGTGATCTCTACGCCTCGGCGTAAAGCATCTCGTTACCAGAGAATTTGGGTTGTAACGGTCTGCTAGGGATTTAAGTACCATCGACATACAACGAAAAAAATTTATTCCATAATGCTAGAAATTGAATGGGTTTAAATGTCGGGCACAGTTAAACGTTTTGTTATCGACAAAGCCGACAATTATACGCTTCGGTATTTGTCCAAGAATGACGTTGTCTAGTGTTTCTCCTACGACGCCACTATGAATTGTGAATGATTTAACTTCGACTCTCGTGAGCGGGTATTTAGCAATAGTCCTGGTCAACATTTTCGTGTGAGTGAGTAATATGCCAGGGTTTATTCTAGTTCTTCTAATGAGTAGTGTAGCATCTAATATGCGTATCCATGACATAGTATTACCCCTCATAAGACAGAAGGAATCTTTCGAATGAACAAGCCTCATGCACTTCGACACCATTGATAAAATATTTATCTTGATTGAAGACATCGCAGTGAAGATGACCTACGAGATCCAGAGTTCGCCCTCCTTGTACAAAAGCGGTTCGCTTGTCGGCCCGTGATTGCATAGTGTTGCTCCAGGTAGAGCGTTCATTTTCCCTGCGGTATCGCTGTAACACAAGCATGAAGTCAGGTAGAAGGTTTTTACTGTTGAAGCATAATTGAATAACGCCTCTATGTAAGCGCGGTAAGCATAAGCATTGTTTGGAGGAGACACGAGCTTTTGGTTGAAATATACGTCGATTTGATTGAACATCGAATACAGTATATAGTTTACTGGGCCTACTTTTGCGGCGGCGGCTCCTGCTCCATTTCTACTCGTATGCGTAGCGACAACATGGTGTGAGCAAGATTTACGTATTATTCTCCATGCCCGAGTACGACGAATTCGACGGGTGCATCGTCCGTGAGAGAAGACACGGGTTTGTAGTGAATCCATTGTGAACTCTCAATACTGATTTGTGTAGGCAGCAGGGTGAAGAGATCGAGTTCACTCTTTAAACATTCGCAGGAATGCGTATGAAGAAAGGATATGCTTCGAAAGCACGCGTTTGTTGTTTAGGAAAAATGTCTGGCACGGTACGCTTTTTGATACCTCCCCGACGTTTAGCAAGTCCTCCCCCGCTTTTCTTTACTGAACGCTTCTTCGCCAGTTTCTTCGCTAGCTCCTTACCCAATTTTTTCCTCTGCACGTTTCTTCGAGTCACTTTCCTCTTCCTTGATTTAAAAGCGCTGACTCGACGTTTCGGCGCAGATGATTTGCTGCTGTATCCGCTTAGCGTGATGAAAGGAAGCTGACCTTTTCCGATTTTCGCAGGAGCTTTATATCCAGACCCCTCCATCAGTTTGTTAATGTGTTCTTCCGCTCTTCTTTTGAGATTTGAGCCTGATTCCTCGAGGCGCGTTTTAACAGCTGTTTTCAGTGGCGTGTTATTCTCCACGTCATCGAGTATATTAATTCCTACGCGTAGAGCTTCTTTTCCAACGGCACGCACATCACTGGCCAGATAAGGTAACACTCGCTTGAACAGACCACCGAGAAAACTATCGATACCACGACCTCGCTGATACTGTGATCCTACAAAAACTTGCGGAATTCCGCCGCCGCGACTTTCCCCGGATTGTGCTTCGTAATACTCTAAATAATGTGCCATATCGTTCTAATCACGACGTCTAAATTGTAATGTAACTGTCAACGCCCCAAATTCAAGTGATATTCTTTCACCAACCTGATCTCTTATATCTATTTCAATCGTGCGGTAACATGTTAATCGCAATGAAATATAATTCGGAAGCGAAAAATGCTTCATCATATTACGTCCGTAGGCATATTTATCACCGTTGTATTCAACGGGAACCATACAAAGAGGAGGAGAATACACGTCTCCCGTTATATAGAACTCACAAATGTCGCAATAAACAATTTATCGGATACGCCCTATACCATACTAGCTGGTTCGTCAGACATAAGTTCACGTTTTGACGTGATGAAAGAGTGAAACTTTCCTTCTCCAATTTTCTGAGGACTCGCATTACGAGCAATATTGGGATGGTACGCTATACGTCCCTGCATAATTTTCGGCAAGTTGAGATGAATGAATTCCTCGCTCGCTCTATACATATCGAAACCGAGCATACGACACACTTTGTCGGAAAATTTCCCGAAATGAAGGCCCGATATGCATTCTTCAATTGAAGATGATCCACGCAGTGGACGTCCAAAAAGCGCATCAATACCAAAAATCATTGAGCAAATACATGTTATGTATATTGTAAATACATGTTATGTATATTGTTTCTGAAAATCCAAGTGTGACTACGCG